ATAAACCGAACGGTATCTATTCGCATGAATGAATGAATTCACCGGAGACAATACTCGAAAACGACCGCACTAAAATCTATTCTTCTTCTTATCGTATCAATCGCATACACTATAAATGGCATACACTATTATATTAGCGGGCTTTGCACAGACATTCAAAAATTGTTTCTTTATTGGACAATCGTCTCTTTAAAGGTAAAACCACATAAGTGACATTTTCCACAAAAATTCCTTAATTTATATAGCTATGGTAAGAAAATCACTATCTTTCTGCATGTAAAAATCAATAACGAAAAAGCTATAAACTTAGAAAGATGGTGAATTTCTTACAACTGGCACATAATTTGGAGGTTTTACCTTAAAGCAGACGATATACAAACCAATCGATCCGTAAATACAGTTAAAAGCAATGAAAAAACTAACAACAGAAAAAGAGAACCGTGACTACACCATAACTGGTCACCACCTGGTTTCAAACTAAATAATTCCCTGTACTAAGGGTAACAAAGCCACCATATCGAGGCACTGCCCAGAACACCCAGACCAAAACCTATTTAGAAAAATTGATTTCCCGAATTGGTTCTACCGAGAATATAACCCAGGACCTTCCAGTTGGGTCACCGATGCCCGTCGTTAAGACGCTAATGATAGACTTGCCACGTTAATTAGTTAAAAAAAATACTGAGTTAATGACTCTTGTTACGCGACTGGCAACACATTGTGTATTTGTTGATGTTTATTGTAAATAATCTGTGATTTAATTGAGCTTTTGTTTTGTTTGTTTGTTTTTTATAATATCAAGTGACGGCACGGACAAGTCGTGCGCCTGATGGTAAGCGACACGCCTGTCCATAACAGTTGCTCCACTCGGAGCTTTAAATCGCAAAGATGTGAAGGGTGCTGCCACTGCACCCGTCACCTTGATATATAAGTCGATAAGTACTACGTGCTTGTAATTTCCCCAGCACCCTCACCCTTCAAAATCAGAACACAGTAATGACATTACTGCTTGGCGGCAGGAATAAGTACGGTGGCAGTACTTCCCTGTACGACCTTTTTCACAAGGAGCTCTACTGCTACTTTTGTTTGTAATTTCGTTTTGTAATTATTTTATTTGTCTCTTAAGTGTGAATGTTTTTGATCATGATTTTAATCTATATTTTCTGTTTTTTTTTCTTCTCTAGTGTCATTTTGTGATAGTCAAATAATAGAATTTTATGCAATCGTTGCATAATGAGGTTTCTTATAGTCGAGTACTAACCATGGTACTAAACATGGTCCACCCGGCAAAGCCTAGGTATGAGATTTTATGACCTAATTATGTAAATGATTGCATACAATACATTTTTGACGAGTAAATCAAATAATGAAACACCATCAATAATTAATGTATATCTGGTTAACAATCCATGACAACACACTCATACGAAGGCAAACAAACGCTACAAAACAAAAATCCAAAGAGATACGAGTAGAATAGAAGTGCCCAAGTACTGCTTATATTTTAACCAATCTTTTTTATAAAGGTTTATGGTTCGGTTGCAAGGCATCTAAAGGTCTATCTACACAAATCCGGGCCGTGCCCGGGACGTGGACGGACCGTGCTCCGTCAGGTGCTCAAAAAAATACCGTTGCGTATATTTTGTATGAACTGAATGTACGTTCACACATGTCCGCGTCCGGGCCGGCGCCGGGACGGGCCAGCAGTTCATGCAAACTAGCACGCCCCGTCCACGTCCCGGGCACGACCCTGATGTGTGTAGATAGTCCTTAAGCCAATTTAACCAATCAGGAGGCAGTAGAGCATTTGCGTAGCGTCCTAAATAGCAAAAATGCCACGTTCCATTTTTGAAACTCTGTGTACAAAACTATAAAGAAATTTTTCAGTTGAGTAGCGAGTACCATAGACGATATAATTTTGATTCAGAACTAAAAAGGGCGCCTTTGTGATATGTTTTATGAAATTATAATTGACAGATTAAAGTGCAGGAGTAGAGAAAGGTTTTTTTTCTTTCTAAAAATATCTATTTAGAGCGTAGAGAGGCAGGGGATCATTTACACAAAACAATAGGAAAAGTCGAAAAGAAAAAACTTGTCTAGACGTGTGTATTTTTCCACGACGGCGCTGTTGTCGACGAATTTGTCAGGCGTAAAATTGGCGTGGCGAAAATTTGTTTTATTTCTATGAAATATCAGCGCAGTGTAAAGAACATACACTGGGACAAGTCTCGCCATTTTGCTTCTAAAAATATATATAATTTCATTACCTAAAACTCCAGACAAAATAAAATTATTTGTCTCACCTTTCTTCCGTATGTGGAAACTGATGAAATTTAAGTTTTTTATCTATGTGAGATAATGATATGCAGTCCTTAACAGCACAGAAGCATATCATTTTTAACCGACTTCAAAAAAGGGGGAGGTTCTCAATTCGACAGTATGTTCTTTTTTTTTGTATGTATGTTACGCGATAACTCCGGTATTTGTGAACCGATTTTCATGATTCTTTTTTTGTTGGAGAGGGGGTACTTCCATAGTGGTTCCATTTCATATTGAAGAAAATTATTTTCTTAAATTATTATCAAGAATTACCTTGAAAAGTGGCGTTCACGCATGAAGATTCATTTTTATAAATAGCGCCTAACTTTAATTTAGGAGCAATTACTTTAATGGTTGATTTTGCTATTTCTCCAATTCAAGGCGTTTTTCTCTCGATATACTTTGAGTAGTGCCGTAGTGAGAACCTATTTTCATTGTCTCCAGTGTCAAGTCCAGTATAGTGGCGAACTAGGGGATATTTCAATAAAACTTAGCAAATAGACGTAATTTCACGTACTTTTGAGGTCGGTTTTTTTAGTACTCTGTACTGAGATTATCATTATCCACTCATCAAATCACTACATTAACGTAAATGCCGCAATCATGAATGGATATCTAGATAGACGCAGCACGTACATCATACATACCCGCTCAGAGTTTAAGTTCTGATGCGAATGCGCCTTTTCTAGGGTGTTTTTTAAAACTGCCTCTGCAGTACTGGGGGCCTATCACAACCTGTTAAAAACGATATTATTTTAACCTTACATTGACTTTTCGTACCATGACGCGCGATGATTAAAGTAAGCTTATTATAATGTTAGAACTATGATACTTTATTGGCAGCTTTGTGACTATTCATTCCCTCAATTCGTACTACGACACGACTTTAACATTAAAGTAATATTGATCTTATGTCAAATTTA